AACTACCCATTCGAACCTTTCAACTACAATCATATTGGCTCCCTTGAATGCCTTCTGAAAACGCGACTGTGCACCCACAGGCCGTTGAGTTGAACCGTGTGAGACTAATTTTGGAGCCTTTCCTCTCTAAATCACCCTGGTATCCCAGTGGACCCGTATCCTCTCCATTAAAAACCCTGTTAGCAACACGCCCTATCCTATGGATTCGTGATCGCTCATTCGCATCCAAGTACGAGAAACTTACATAGATAGAGTGACCCTCAACCCAATTAGAACAAATTGAGTGAAGTTGAAATCCGGGGGAGATTTCACATACAAATCAACATCAACCTATTGCATGCATGTTGAAACCCCGCGTACAGTGATCCCCCCTCCCCCGTTCCGCAGGAGAAATTACTACAGGCGGGAACATTCGGTTTTTCATAGGCAACGCACCGCTACGAAAAACGATGTTGTGAGAGCGTGCACGGGAATAATCTCTGCTGGGGAAAAGAGCTCGAATTATTTCACCTTCATTAAGGGGGTTTTACTTTCTGTTCCTTTCAGCCACCTACTAAGAAGATTAGAGCTGATATTATTGGGAGACAAATGCATCCCAGTTAAATTTCTCATTCGTCATGGTTTTCAAATGAATGAGCTGTACAAAACCCGCCTTACGTTTCAGTTGGTAGATGTTCTTGATACTCAGAAGGCTGCTGAGAACTCATCGACTGGCTTCACTCTTTGGGGCTCAACAGATACGCACAGACCCTGAGTTTCCGTCAACTTTGTGTTCCACTTGAACGTGCTCGATAAACAATCGGTATTTTTTTTTTGTATTTGGCCAACGTTTCGCTTTTGACACAAAAGCTTCATCAGACCAAGGTAGGAGGTCACCGAATTGGCCAGGTTGGGGCAGACGGGGAACCCATCAGTAGGTCATCAAATTATCACACTAGTGTTGAGTGTCGATTAACGGCTCTTGTCGGTTGTGTGGTTTTCAAAATCTTGCCTTGGTGGACTGGGGGAGTTTCAAATTAATTCTGATCGGGTTGGTTCCTTGATCTTACACTTCAGGGTGTTTCAATCGGTGATTCACGTCGGTTGTCACTCGTAAATTTCTCTTGGTCTTTGCAGGATTGTGAGTGCTGCGATAGTTTGGTTTGGGGGGAGGGGGGGAGGTCAAGTGGAATTCAGCTAATGACTACTGCTCCTGATGACCGCACAGCCACATATGTAAGCTCTACTGATCCAAAGCCGTTCTCCACACGCTTGCCAGTTCCACGCCTTCCATTCTGTTAACACAGATACTTGGCGATTTCTACCGCCTCGGCCACCAGTCTCTGTGACGTGGACCGTAGTCCTCGCCTCAAAACCTCAACATTTTCTGAATCTGTTTTGTGTCCCGTGTCCAGTACATGTTCTGCAATTGCCGAGTCTTTTAGTAAGACTCGATATTCGTCTGCGTTTCTCGGTAGCCTGTTTATTTTTCTCTTATGCTCTTCGATTCTGGTGTGAAGTACCCTGACCGCCTGTCTTATATAAACCCTAATGCAGTTGTTACACTTGATTTTGTAGACACGATCTCTAAGTCTGCTTGCTGGGAGGCGATCCTTCATTTGCACCAGTGCAGAGCGCAGTGATTCCCCTCTGGAAAGCTACTCTTATGTTAGAATCCTTCGAATGACTCCGATGTCCATAGTTTATACGGAATAACAGCGGTCCCAAGCCAATCTCGTTGGGGTTCCGCCACCGGTACCAGAACCCTCCGTAATTGACGCCTAATCAACCTAATTGGATGTTCACTACCCCGACGTTTGTTCCTTACTTCATTGTGGGCCGCTGTCCGATCAGCTTCTTCTGTGCACAAGGCCCTTACACGCCTAAACATTGATGAGGCGATACTGTAAAATACCAATTTCGGATGGGCAGACGAGTAGATCAAAACTGCTCCAGTGTCAGTTGGCTTCTTGCATGCTGTGATCTTTAGTTTTCCCCGACTTTATGTGTCATGCAGCCTAAAAAGGCCAGTGTAACCGAGGTTGACTCCATCTGCATACTAAATTTGATGTGTGGACCTCGTGACCTGTTCACTTGGGCTGATGAAGCTTTTGTGTCAAAAACGAAACGTTGTCCAAATAAAAAACTACCGATTGTTTATCCAAGCCCTTCGAAAACACAGAACCACTTTTTGCTTCATTACGACTAAGTACAACAAGGATATAAGTCGACTCTGCACATAGGGATTCGACAGTAAGAGCACCACTGAGGGCAAATTGTACACGTAAGTTCGTCCTATAGAGAAACGTGGCGTTGTCTGGAGTTCGTACGCTATTCAGCAGCCAGCGGTGCTGTCAAAGCCCTAGGAGGAGTGAACTGGGTGAAAGAACTAAAAGCCACAGCTATGATTAACGAAGAGCCACTACATTGGGCTGAGGAATTCAGATTTGGCCAGTTCGAAAAAGGTGCAAGAACCACAACACTGACGGCACCTCGAGAATTGGTAAGTAACAAGTTCTCTTCATCTACGTCCAATGTCTTTCTACCCCAGACAAGTTACATTAATGCGACCGCTCTATTGAACACCGTCGCATCCAAACATTCATAGGAAAATTTCCCCTTGACATGAGGGTTAATAATAAACAGATATGATATCCATAGTTGATATGAACTTCTCGAAGGCATGGCAAGTTTTCCAGTAATGCCGTGCTAGCCCGCGAAGCAAGACTGTCTAACGATCCATGCAGGTTATGTGATTTTATGGAGGCAAACAGAAGCAGAGTAGAAAATAGATGTACGGCATTACAACCAGTGCACACGTTTATGGCATATGCGCGTGTCAGTCTTTCTTGTTCATCCAGGTGTCCGTATGAGTTGTCAAGTTAGATACAAACGTGAACAGACCAAGTGATACACGTACCAAGTTGAAAAAGAATGTTTACACGAAATCGAACGGGTGAGCTAGATCGCTGCCGAGGTTAGTAGGGCGGCACCTCGACACCGTACGTCGCATTAGCATTATAGAGGTGTCCACCAAGAAAGAGTCTTGTGGTGATGAGAGAAGCCGAGCGTCGTAACCACACATTTTCTCCTTATAAAAACTGCTCCAACCAGTGGCATGCTTTGCGCAGAAGCTGTCCAGTATCTGACCCGGCTAGGCCTGCAACTTGTATGCCTCGTGCTTGCATGAACATACATGGTTCATTTGTGTAAAGGGGTTGGTTTCCTTTTCATAAAGGAAACTACTCACAAGGTTGCTGAAAACACTTCGACAGTCCACGACCGACTCCTCCCTTCTTGGGGCTCATCAGGTGGGCACAGTCCTCGAGTTTCCGTCAACCTTATGTTCTACTTGAACCCAAATTGGACTGTTTTCGAGAAATACACTCGTTTGCAAATCAATTAGGTTTTCACGACTCAACTGTGTCTCTCGTTTATGACATTCTACAACTGAATGTGCTGCACACAGGCCGCCTCATGATTCAGTTGGCACGATATTCTAGATATCGCAGTATATTTTCATACAGGAAACTACTCACAAGGTTGCTGAAAACTCTTCGACAGTCCACGACCGGTTTCTCCTTCTTGGGGCTCATCAGGTAGGTTTGGTTTCCTGTTTTGCTGCATCGACTAGGATGTCATCTTACACATCCATTACACGCGATTGCCAAATGTAGCAAGCGGTGAACGAACTAACGGGAAAATCAAATTAGACAGTAGTTGTGCCCTTCGAGTATAGAAATACGTCATGATAAAAGGGATGACTTTTCTAGTCTGGATGTTCTCTGGAATCAGCTACGTCCACAGGAGTTGATCACCAGGGAAGTGGTCATCAAAAGGAGGGTCACTCCTGAGGAGGATTGTATTAGTTCGTCTTTTTTTGGGTATAGAATTTTTACCCGGGGTTGAAAGATCCCGTATTTGGCCCACAGTCTGCCATGAATAGCTGATTTCGAAAACTCAGGGTTCGAACGGCACCATGCTACCCGAACCATCCTTGCTTTTTTCGGTATCAGAAACGACAACTTACAACGCTACTGACCGAACAAAATTGATAGTTGATTGCTAACTCATGTGAACGTGGTTGAAAATGACAAAAAAAGCGAGTACGGATTCGGGTGAAAGACGATCAGATCCTACTGCGAACGCCCAGCTGCCCTCACTTGTGTTTACGACAACAGCCCAATCCTGTCCCCGTAATACGGTCAAGAAGTAAAGGATACTTCAGGAAGTACAACAGGCTATTAAGTAGAAAGCCATTCTGGAAGGAGCGGGCGGAAAAATCATACAATGATAGATTATCGTGTATGTGTGGAACATGATCTGGCCTTTCATGCGATCTTGTGACTTGTCCGAAAGTCAATGTCGGTGTTGTGGGTCAGAACAAAACAATACCAAGAAGAATAATTAGATATCACATTTGAACGTTGTATAGGATGCTGATTGACAGTTACGAGAAAAGCTAGTAGATAAGATCGGACAAGGGACAAAAATCTAAAACAAACTAAGCAGAAGAGAAAAGCCAGATATGAAAGAAGATTAGGACGCATAGAAGAAGCTGGTTACATGTGGACCGCTGTGACAATAATTATACAAGTCAAGTGATACAATTGTTACGTGGGTATTTATAACAATGGTAGCCGCACGACAACAACGAGTGATCCCAACAACAACAACAACAACAACGCATGAAATGAGTGACCAACAAGTGATTTCCACCGTATGATTACATGATGGTGGTAAGTGGACTGCAAAAGGATGCGTACACGGCAAGGACAAGGTGAGTTCATTCGGTTAAACAGAAGGAAGAAACTGAAGAAGACGAAAGTTCTAACAGAATTCCGGCGATCAGAGCGGAGAGAATAACAATCAGGCAAGCAGAAGACAGGTCGAAAAGAGTGGAGGCAGAAAAAGCACGGTCCAGGTAGGCAGTCAAGCGGTCATTCAGGCGGACAGACAATAAAAATAAAATCACTAATTCTTTCCTACATCTGGAACCTCGTCACCGCAGTTGTCGTTGTTTAGGATGCCATCACGTAGCCTTCATCCCCGTGCTCACCAGGATACCCACCGGCAAATCCTAAACGGGGTTCCGCAGAATTAGGTGGTTGAGTATGTATAGTTGGCACGGTGGACGGAGCCACATGCGGGTAGGCAGTTGTGGTGGTCGCTGTCACCCCAGTCATTGTGATCCGCAACCCACCAGGTTGTCTTGAAACCCGGAAACGAGTGACCAATTCAGCTATGTACAGGGCCATAGCAACCGCCGAGAATATCTAGGATGTATCAGTAGACGGATGAACATGAATAACCAAAGTGCAGTTCGGTGGCGTTGTAACGTCTGTATCACATGGGAGAATCATCAAATATTCTGACGATGCAATGAATTTAGGCTTCGATTCTCTTCAAGTACGCAGCAACCAGAAAATATAATAGCGGGAACAAACAAACAGTTTAACCACATTGATCGGTCAGTGTAGCTATAGCTCCCTTATTATAAAACAAACTAGAGCGTTTAGGGTGGAAATAACGGCGAATGCCGGATAATAATAAACCAAAGATTATCAGAACGCATGCGAATAGTAGTAAATGAGACGAGCTCAGAAATCTTTGGCATTCCCAGAACAAAACGTTGTCAGATCGAGCAACCAGACAATATGATGATCAAGTAACATGTGCTGACCGAAGCGGGACTAACAAACACCAAAACTGAAGTCACGCCATCTTTGTTCAGGATCGGGATCAACAACCAAGATCAAAGATCAATGGTCTAACAGCAAGCGGTGAACGAACTAACGGGAAAATCAAATTAGACAGTAGTTGTGCCCTTCGAGTATAGAAATACGTCATGATAAAAGGGATGACTTTTCTAGTCTGGATGTTCTCTGGAATCAGCTACGTCCACAGGAGTTGATCACCAGGGAAGTGGTCATCAAAAGGAGGGTCACTCCTGAGGAGGATTGTATTAGTTCGTCTTTTTTTGGGTATAGAATTTTTACCCGGGGTTGAAAGATCCCGTATCTGGCCCACAGTCTGCCATGAATAGCTGATTTCGAAAACTCAGGGTTCGAACGGCACCATGCTACCCGAACCATCCTTGCTTTTTTCGGTATCAGAAACGACAACTTACAACGCTACTGACCGAACAAAATTGATAGTTGATAGCTAACTCATGTGAACGTGGTTGAAAATGACAAAAAAAAGCGAGTACGGATTCGGGTGAAAGACGATCAGATCCTACTGCGAACGCCCAGCTGCCCTCACTTGTGTTTACGACAACAGCCCAATCCTGTCCCCGTAATACGGTCAAGAAGTAAAGGATACTTCAGGAAGTACAACAGGCTATTAAGTAGAAAGCCATTCTGGAAGGAGCGGGCGGAAAAATCATACAATGATAGATTATCGTGTATGTGTGGAACATGATCTGGCCTTCATGCGATCTTGGTGACTTGTCCGAAAGTCAATGTCGGTGTTGTGGGTCAGAACAAAACAATACCAAGAAGAATAATTAGATATCACATTTGAACGTTGTATAGGATGCTGATTGACAGTTACGAGAAAAGCTAGTAGATAAGATCGGACAAGGGACAAAAATCTAAAACAAACTAAGCAGAAGAGAAAAGCCAGATATGAAAGAAGATTAGGACGCATAGAAGAAGCTGGTTACATGTGGACCGCTGTGACAATAATTATACAAGTCAAGTGATACAATTGTTACGTGGGTATTTATAACAATGGTAGCCGCACGACAACAACGAGTGATCCCAACAACAACAACAACAACAACGCATGAAATGAGTGACCAACAAGTGATTTCCACCGTATGATTACATGATGGTGGTAAGTGGACTGCAAAAGGATGCGTACACGGCAAGGACAAGGTGAGTTCATTCGGTTAAACAGAAGGAAGAAACTGAAGAAGACGAAAGTTCTAACAGAATTCCGGCGATCAGAGCGGAGAGAATAACAATCAGGCAAGCAGAAGACAGGTCGAAAAGAGTGGAGGCAGAAAAAGCACGGTCCAGGTAGGCAGTCAAGCGGTCATTCAGGCGGACAGACAATAAAAATAAAATCACTAATTCTTTCCTACATCTGGAACCTCGTCACCGCAGTTGTCGTTGTTTAGGATGCCATCACGTAGCCTTCATCCCCGTGCTCACCAGGATACCCACCGGCAAATCCTAAACGGGGTTCCGCAGAATTAGGTGGTTGAGTATGTATAGTTGGCACGGTGGACGGAGCCACATGCGGGTAGGCAGTTGTGGTGGTCGCTGTCACCCCAGTCATTGTGATCCGCAACCCACCAGGTTGTCTTGAAACCCGGAAACGAGTGACCAATTCAGCTATGTACAGGGCCATAGCAACCGCCGAGAATATCTAGGATGTATCAGTAGACGGATGAACATGAATAACCAAAGTGCAGTTCGGTGGCGTTGTAACGTCTGTATCACATGGGAGAATCATCAAATATTCTGACGATGCAATGAATTTAGGCTTCGATTCTCTTCAAGTACGCAGCAACCAGAAAATATAATAGCGGGAACAAACAAACAGTTTAACCACATTGATCGGTCAGTGTAGCTATAGCTCCCTTATTATAAAACAAACTAGAGCGCTTAGGGTGGAAATAACGGCGAATGCCGGATAATAATAAACCAAAGACTATCAGAACGCATGCGAATAGTAGTAAATGAGACGAGCTCAGAAATCTTTGGCATTCCCAGAACAAAACGTTGTCAGATCGAGCAACCAGACAATATGATGATCAAGTAACATGTGCTGACCGAAGCGGGACTAACAAACACCAAAACTGAAGTCACGCCATCTTTGTTCAGGATCGGGATCAACAACCAAGATCAAAGATCAATGGTCTAACACCCTTCCGGTGCCCATCCAGCATGCCACCCGAAGGAAGCACGAGTGAGACATTGTCAGGAGGTTGAACATACGAAATCACAATCGCATTACACGATTGAACGATAAGCAATCGTGAACAGAAGTTACATGCATCTACAGTATGTCACGCGTGAACTGTTTCGCGAACGGGGTTAATTTCTCGGACAACTCTGACTCCAATAAGTTACGAAAGCCGTACCGATCTTCCACTTTTTCAAGACTTTCAGAAAACGTCTGGAAATCAGAAACCCAATTTCAGCAATAATCGAGTCTTTGCCGGTTTAAGTAATCATCAGTGTTTTTGGTTGTAAGCGTCATGGGTGTCCGTAGGCTGGGCACTCAACCTAGACAGGAGGAAAGATTAGGATCCTCAAACACCTGACCACAAGAGAGTAGTGTTTGGCGAGAAATGCAAGAACATTTAATTTACAATTCACAGAACAAGTCACCACACATGTTTCAACCCCCAAACCTGAAGGGCCAGGAGACCAGGAGTCAGACCTCTAACAACTGACCAACATGGTATGAGACTGTGAGTGTAGAACGGACACAACCCAGTATAGCTCAAGGGGTTACGGTAGAGCACAAACCATCACACCGCGGTAAGCTCCAGCCCCTTCGTGACGGTAAAGAATATGTTCAGCGAATCCACTCGGTTGGTGCGTCTCCCATTTGGTTTTTAATGCATTACAAAATGAAATCCTCTTGCGACCACCTCACAACATCTTTTTACCCAGAAAATAACCGCGCCCTTTTGATGAAAGAAAGGCGCTGAACTGCCAGCGGACATCATTCGAAGTCGGAAAATCCCGATCTACCGGCTCCCTGTCAAAAACTTGCGAAGCTATTTTCTGGCGACACACTACACCAGTAGCGGCTTAACTGCATCGGACGAACAAAATTTTCAACTTCACTAGGTAAGCTGTAGTATCCCAGAGGTAAAAAAAGACTTCGAAATGAAATATTTAGCTCCATGGTCTGAAGAATTCGACAATAAGTGTATGAAACAATTAGGAACGGGAATCCTGAGTAGCAAGAAAACCCCCTGTCTGCTGATGAATCAAATCAAATGCAGAAGAGAGACCAATAAGACCGCCGCAATCCAAGCTATCAAAACGGAAATTCCAGTTCACGTACGAAATTGCATTCAAGCTCTGACTCGCCCTGTGTATACGGCGACTGGCAAACAACAGTACATGCACATTAGAAAAAAAGGCACATGGTCAAGACCGGTAATGTATTGATATACAGACGATGTAGAACCACAGTTGCGTAGCGAAATCCCCCCCACACACACACACACACACACATTTTCCACTGCCAGCATTCGGCGGACACACCACACAACCACCGGCAAAACAGTTTCTCAACCACAGTGTCACAGTCACAAATCCAACCGGTCCTCGGCCAAAACTGTACCGCTACAGAGATGTTTGAATCGGCCCAAAGTACACAAAAGGCCAAAGTTCAGCGTTGAGAAATCAGTGGACATGCGCACCACACACAAACCGAGTTGCGCAAAACAAAACAGCATTTTCTTTCATAAACATGTCACGCATGTGACACGTTGGGTTCAGATAAGTAGATAAGCAAAACAGTATGGAGTCGAAAACGCACGAATTGTTTACGGTATCCATGTATGTGCCATGTTCCTCAAACACTTTTAGGCTGTTAACATCATTCCACCTGGAGTCGCGCTAAGAAAATAGGAGGTAAATTGAGCAAGGCAAGATCCCGCTTGACTGAATACTGTATCGAGTGGAGACCCGAAAATGTATCTGATTCAGGTATCCTACACCTCTGTTTGATCCGTATCTCCACCTGGATCTTCCCACAAGGACTGCGCAGCAAGAAAAACATAGACTTATTTGCAAACTGCGTTGAAAAACCGTAGAACAGACTAGAAGAAATGTACGTGATTCAAGGTGATTAGTGTACAATGTGCTTCTGACTTGTACCAAACACTACTCGGACGGAGCGAGCTCGCTTTGCTGAAAAATTCGTAGGAAACACCAGCCACAACAAAACAGACTAGTCGATAATTTCTATCCACCCCAGACCCTGATTGATTACCAATCAGTTACTCGGAAAGAGAACGAATTTTCCGTCAACAGGAAAACAAGGAGAACACGCGCGAGTATGAGAAAACAAAACAATATATGCCCAACTCGTAAACAACTGTCGTCCCGCCACACAACCGCCACAACAAAAAGAAGTTGAATCAATAAAGCAGTCACATTTGACATGATTTAACACCATACACACCATTTCGGGGAGAAAACAGGAGAGAGAGGCAGTGTAGGGTACGAAACGCTCATATGTACTTACAGCTGCAGCAATGGCTCCACCAGCGATATAATGCATTGAAGCGGCTACAATAAAGGCGATGAACCAGAAGAAAGTCGAGATGATCAGTGTGCAGAATTCCTGGAAAAAAGGTAAACGAAGTGAGATTTGGGAGAAACCAAAGGATTCGGTGAGTAGTATGTAGAAATGGATAAAAATCACAAATTAGTACTCCCGACTAAGCAAAAAGCCGTTATAGTTCAAGTCCGATCTATCTTCAGGTGTTCTTCGAATAAATTAGCAAACGGAAACTGTGCAAAACACAACTGGTGGAACTGGAAAAGATCAGTCAAGAGAAGCAATGGCGATCGGAGCCCTCTTCATCATTCGCTGCTTACATTGGTACCAACGGTATAAAATACTAAACGTCTGTTTGCCTGCAGGTAACCGAAAGGTTACAATGTCCAATAAGAGTTCTGCGTCAAGGTAGAACAATCCGAGATATCTTGACAACACAACGAGAGTTATGGTAAAGCGCTTAAAAGTAACAGTCTGTCTAAAAACTACCACAAGGCATCAATTCTCCCACCCACAAATCGATTTTATCACTCCGCAAGTGTCCAAAACGCCTGTGCCATCCATTGTCCGTCGTTGTAACCATTCCTTCCAGCCAGTTTAATTAATTATTGGCTTTTTTCAAAAGCAGAACCTCGGTTGGTGTAATACAGGAAACTTCAAACGATATTTTTTTGAAGACGCGTCCATTGGGCATGACATACAAGTCCCATAAATGACCAATTGACCCTAAAGAACCAATGACTACGGTAACCATGGTATTATACCTCATGTGGTTGGGTGATGAGTCGAACGATACATACGATAAGTACGTGATTCAGAAAGTAATGGTAAACCAAAGTACACCGGAACACGTTCACTGTCAGTGAAATGGTTCGAAACTCAAAGAAGTCAACTGACCCATCACGACAATTTACCTTTTGCCATAGGCTTCGGTGGTATCGATACCGTCACGTAACACTACTGAGTCTACGAAGATGGTCTTTATCACCACTCAACCCACTGACCAGTAGGAACAGGGAGGGAGGATGCACTGGAATCGAAGACAGCCGATTAGCCTCACTAACACACTATTATACTATATATATATATATA